TTTTTTTTTTTTTATGGCTCAAACACTCTACAATATTTTCAAAATAGGAAATAATTAATTATACTTAATCTCCACCTCATGCTTTATCTCTTCACATCATCCAAATAAAAAAATAAAATATATATTTCTCTCTCAATCACATTACCTAATTTCTAAATTATCCTACTTAATACTTCTCATGTACAAAAAGCAAATATTGCACCTTATTTGGGACGGAGGGTGTATTACATTTATAAACTTTTATAAATATATATATACTTTCTCACTTTAATCGACTTTCATTTTTTTTGGGGTTGTCTTTTTAGTGAAAAATTATATTAATCTTTGTATTATTTTTATATAGAAAATAAAAAGGAACTATTATTATTTATTTCCATTAAGATTTAGATTAAAATATTTGAGTACATGTTTCAACAACAACAACACTTGTTTTATTTTGTGTTATTTAATTCTTTATTTTTATTTAGAAATATTTTGTGTTTTATTTTATTATTGTTGATTTAAAATAACACGTAAAACAAAAGCTTTTATTATTATTATTATTATTATTATTCCGCAGGAAATACGGGTCGTGAGCCGTGACCTGGGCTTTATTATGCAGCCAGCTCATCACGTGCATTGCACGCTGCCCATTCAATCTTTTTTTGACCAACTAAGGGACAAAGGGAGTAAAAATTATAACCTACAATATATTAAAAAAAAAAATAAAATCATTTATTCTGTTTACTTTTGATTTTTTACATTTTATCAAAAAATATATATTATTTATTTTTATAAAACATCACATCCAACTATTACATAATTATAAAATACAAAACAAAATTGGACAAAGTCATTTGTGTTTTTCGATGGATATTTTTTTATATTAAATATAGAGAATTATATCGATAATATGAAAAATCATATTTTATGTTGAATTATAAATTTTTGTAAGTAAATATAGTATACATATTGTATTTTTTAATAATATTTATGGAGAATCGATCCAAAAATAAATTTGCGTAAACAAACCTCTTGTGTTTGTAATATTTAAGAAATATTTTTATAGAGAAAAAGACGAAAAAATATGTTGTTTTCATTATTATTATTATTATTTGGTTAATTTTCATTCCCCCTTTTTGCAATTCCCTTTATTTTTCATTCTTCAAACATTTTACTCATAAAACACAAAACACACACAATAATAATTCAGACAATTAAAATTTCAATCAATTATAATATCCATCAAGAATCTTATTTCTAGCTCCCCTCTCATCATCAATGTACAACTAAATCAATTCATGATCTTCATAAAGAAATATATATATACATATATAATTCCAAATAAATCAAATCTCCCTAACCATTTTCTTGGCAAGAATATATATATATATATATATATATAAAATCAACAATGGTTCTTGCTCTTACCATACAAAACATGAAAATCCACTAATGATGCAAAGGGTTTGGACCGGTCGGGACAAGGCGCTCCTCGACTCCATAACGGGTGTCAATCAACGGCGTATTATGATCCAATGAGAACTTGTGATGGTCATGGTGATGCTTTTTATATGGGGAAAAATCAAACTTGTTAGTGAGTGCTTTTCTATGAGTGATCGAAGTAGGAAAACGGTTCAAGAACGAAGAGGGATTCGAGGGATTATTGTGTTGAAGGTATTTGAAGTTATGAAAGTGATAAAAACATAGGAGAATGAGAGAAATACAAAGAAATGGATAGAAAAACATAGGGTTTTTCATAGTCTTGTAAGAGTGAATCTTGACCAAGGGCTTCAAAGGGAAGCATTGAGGAATTTCTTGTTTATTTTCAAGTGGGATGTGAATAAATCTTCAAGGGTTTTGAGTCTAGTAAGCTTATAGGTATGATATATATATATATATATATTGTGTGTGTGTGTGTGTGAAATTAACATCAAAATTATGAATACATATATGTATGTATCTACATATAGTATGTTCTTTTAGCTTCATGTATAGAATTATTTGTGTAAACTTTATTACATAATTAGCATCTTCTTACTAACTATATATATATATATATATACATACATAACTCATATTGTCACCTTTTATTTTGATTAAAAAAATATATATATACATATACTATCCAATTTCTCATATTTAATAATAAAAATATATTATTATTTATTTACAAAACATCATATTTATCTACCATTTAAACCAAAATCAAAACCAAACCCTAAAAAAATTAATACAAATATAATTTATGAAAATATTAAAAAAAAATAAATAAAAAGGTTGCTCAATAAGTGTTCCTTAGAAATCAAGAAACCAAAAGGAGTGTATTATGGGTGTTGTCAAAAAACCTTAGATTGATTATGTTTTCTAATCGAAGTTTTTTGAAGCTCCATGGAGCTGAACTCCACATAGATCTACACCACTCCTCAATTTGGAATCAACGGTGCACACTACAAAAAAAAAAAAAATATCATTTTTGTAACAATATTTTTTCATTCTTAAATCCACTTTTTCTGTTACTAATAATATTAGAGACGAAATTAGGGATGGAATTACGTTAGCTACGTGAACTTTAGGAACGAAATTCCGTTACAAATATACTATTTTTTTTTAGTGACATATTCATTTGGGAGTTGAAAACTAGGGAGTCACCGATCAAGTATTGTTTATGTTTAATGAATGTTGTTAATTGTGTATGTTTTGAAAGTGGTACATCATTTAGCATATTAATAATTAGGCAATTTTAGTGCTTAATGCAAACGGTATTACTACAAACAGCACACCGTATACATTTATATAATATAAATACAATACACAAATTAATAACACATGTTATAATTTTATACAACACAAGCAATAGTTGATTTCAGCACACTATATATTGTTATACAACACACTTGTAATTATGAACCAATAACACAAATACAGCACATGTTATAGTCTTATACAATACAAATAATAGTTGATTTCAGCACACCATATATTGTTATACAACACACTTGTAATTATGAACCAATAACACAAATACATCACATGTTATAGTCTTATACAACACAAATAATAGTTGATTTCAGTACACCATGTACTATTATACAACACAATCATAATTATGAACCAACAATACTTGTTTTTATTATACACAACATGTGTTGTGCATAATACGACGGTGTACAATAAAACAATATGTTAGTGAAAGAAACATGTTTCTTAGTAAAAAATACTTCCTCCGTCTCAATACAATATTTTTGTTTACCATTTTTGTCCGTCATAAAACAATAGTCTTATTTTCATAACTAACCATATCACTGTAAAATTATCCCTACTTTTTCATTTTTATTACACAATTGCCACTACTTTTTACACTAATACACACACAATGACAAAAAGTCTTTTATCCATATTTTTTACTCACTACCAATATAATATCAATATTTCTTAAATCTCGTGTCCAACCCAATTAAGATTATATTTATGCGACGAACGGAGTATATAATAATTGCTAAACAAAACTATAATATCACTAAACAAAATATTACTATAACTAATTTTAAAAATAGATTTAAAAAATCATATATGCAATAGAGTGAGCAATCTAATCTAATCTAAGCACTATCTTAGAAAAGTGAATATATGATTTGTATTTTAAAAAATAATAATAGAAAAATAGAGTATTGAAGAAGAAGAATCAATAAACTTTCTTATAAATATTTTTTAATGTTTCTTATAAATATTTTTTAATGATGCACAATCATGAGAAAGCATATACAATTATTATAAATCTTCCATTTTACATTAAAAATATTATATTTATATTTTTTTAATAGAATTTATTCTGTTGTGTTTTAAAAATATTTTAAAAATTTAAAAATAAATAAAAAAGATATGTTTTTACATTTTGAATATTTTGACGCTTATTCATCTATACAGTAATTTAAAAAAAAAAATTACAATCAAATATTAAATTTTTATTATTTTAATTTTTTTTCAAAATTTTAAAGCTTCAAAAACTTCTATCATATATTTGTTGTAAACTTTTGGTAATATACAATGACTTTGTTCACTCAAACTATAATTTAATTACATTATTCTCAGTATATATAATATATATTTTAGAAATAAAAATATTGGGGTGTGTTTTATTTTTATTTAAAAAAGATATATTATTATTTAATTCGAACCATTTTCAATAAATATATATAATTTTTTCTTTTACAAAATATCACATTAAAAAATTATTTAAACGATAATTCAATCAGTTCTTTATTTCAAATCAATTTCACACCACCGAAAAGTAAACTCTTGGATACTAAAACTATATAGAAAAAATTCAAATAAATAATTTTGACGATATTTTTTTTACTAATGTTATGAAACTAAAATTTAAAATGTAAATAAAATTTATTATTTTCTTTCATTTAATTTTTCTCCTAAACTATTGTTGAAACTAAAAATTCAAATTCAAATTCAAATTCAAATTACAAAATCAAATACAGGTAAATAAACCCAAATCATCTAAAATATAAATAAACACATAAATATTCATTATTTTTTCTTTGTACTTTAACATCTATAAATAAATTATAAACATAAAAATTTACCAAGATAATTAAATATTAATTTAAATATTTTACCGAAATCCATCTGTATAAAAGAATGTGTAAGATTTTGCATTTTGTTTTACTATTTAAATTTTTTATATAACAAAATAAAAATTAAATTATATAAAATTTTAGTTTTGAATTCTAATATTTACTATTCAAAATCAAAATCAAAACTAAAATTTTATAATTAAACAGATATTATTTTGAAATTTTGGAACTATTAAATTCAAATATTCATCTCGTCCCAATACAATAATCTTATTTATCATTTTTATAATTAAAGTTTTTTAATTAATATGAACATAAAATTTCAATTTTTATTGGGCTTTTTAAATTATTGATAAAGTGGCCCGGCCCATTAACGTAGTAAATGGGCTTAGCTTTCTATCCTTCAACTAACGACGTCGTATCACAGCAAGAATCCGCAATTCGTTGGCGCAATCGACCGGAAGTGTTTAATTCCGTCGCCGGAGATAAGCAAGCAAGGAAATGGTGTGCGATCGTCTTGTTAACTCTATTTTTGGAAGCTTGGTGGAAATTTCTATGGTTGATTCCGAATATCAGTGAATTCTATGGTAAGTTCCCTTTTTATTACGTATGAAAATTTGGGAGCCGATAAGTTATCGCTCTTAATCGGAGTTAGGGGAGACGAATTAGGGTTTAAGAATCATTCAGGCTCTATTTTCGTGAATCGGTTGAAGGTTTTGTGATTACTATTATTTTGTGTTAAGAATAATTAGGGTTTAAATTAGGTTATATTCAGATTTTCGAGTTTCGAATGATCGATATTGATTAGGATTTCTGATGGATGTTTTAAAATTAGGGTGGTGTTGTTAGTACATAAAACTTGGATGAAGCAATTCCAACAAAGAAATGGAATTATTTTAGTTCTCAGAGATATTTGAGTTTCCTGCTAAATTTGGGGATCGAATTGTTTTCCATTATTGTTCTTAATTATTGTTTCATGCTCTAAATTTCTTACTCTTGCTGTCTTCAATGGCAGATAATCTTACTTCTCAACAGATTGAGAAACAAAGGTGTTTCTTATATATATATATATATATATATTTGTATATACACTTTGTCGTTATGAACAAGTGTCCGGGTTATTATGTTTCAGAATCTTAACATTTCTTGTTTATAGGGTGGATTGAACAAATTTGATGATCTGACATGTTTATGCAATAAAGAGCTAGAAAAATCGATCGAGGTATCTTGATCATGAGGCACTACTGTTTACAGTTTTTTCGGACATAATTTAGTATAAAGTCAGCAGTAAAAGGTTACCCCCATCAAGAAAAGATGTTTAATTTGAGATTCAATGCATTAAAAGTGTTGTTAAATCTGATATTTATATTCATGTCGAAGAGGGTTCACTCGACTACGATGTAAGGAACTAGAGGCAAGTTTTTTAAGTTGCTTTTGTGATCTTTTTTTGCAATCAAACTCTTAGTCGTTAGATCTATTCTATCAGCTGATTTTAATTTTTGGTTCATAGTTTATTTCGGATAGTTTCTAATAAAAATTTTATGTTTCTATATATATATATATATTGAAAGTGCAGCTTGTTGTGCAACATTGTCATGTAAATACAATTCATATCTAATTTATATTTGGGACTTCAATTCGGTCATTTGGGAAGGTGATTTTGGGATGGAGATCATTTGTAATTCGATTTAAACGCGCACTTTTGTCTGTATTGACTAGAAAATATTGGATCTGATGTTTCTTTGAACTGTCTTGAGTATTGTTGTCGTCGTATAGTTATAAAATTTGAGCTGCGACTATGGGAAATCTAAATAAAAAATACGAGTAGGTTTTCTTATGTGATATGCACATCGTGTTGATGTGATGTTTTGTATAGAAAACAAATTCTTAATGTAATACTCCCTCTGTTTACCCGATAAGAATATATTAATTATCTGCACAGAGTTTAAAAAATACTTGCATTTACATGGTAGTTGAATTGTATGTTTGGTTTGCAAAATATTTTCTAGCCTTATGTTTTAATTAGATGTAAATACCGACATAAATAAGTGTAAGTTTAACGGTATTTATAATATGTAGTGTGATAAAAACTATATATATATATATATACTTTGTGTTTAGTTGAATTAAAATTGTAAATATATGCATTTTGGGTCGACATAAAGAGTATTTTCAATAAAATATAGATATTTGACGTGACTTATTTTCTTACAATATTCATTGTTGATGAATAATACTAAAAGTGATTTGAACACATATGTAAACTAAGCCTACATTTAAAACTTTATTACAAGTTCCTTCACATTATTGCGTGCAACTTTTTCAGGCCTAACATTGAGCACACTTTTTTAATGTAATCGAGTCGAGCCGTGCCGGCTGTCCACAGGTGTATTTTGTATCTAGCAGACGAGGGGGAGGGGCCATATCCAGAGAGCAAGTATGAAGTAGCAGAAACAGAAGCACTATGTCGAAATTCATGAACCTGGACAGGTCAGTAAATTTTGTCTGGAAATAAAAGGGGTCCCAGAATGAAAGAAAAATGAATGACTTGTCTATTTGGGCACCTGAATTGAATCGAATTGAATTGTAAATGAGAAAATTTTATGTTTTTTAAGTTTTGAAAGAACACGAAAAATGGGACTGTGTGTTGTTTAGAATTAAATGCACAGATGTGTACAAGACATTCTTCGACAGGACAACCTGTGCTCCATGTGTTGTTCTGAATCGAATTTATAGTCGAAAGAACGAGGAACAAACTTGAAGGAGGAGGAGAGGTTATAGGATTCTTCGAAATTTTTGAAAATAAATTAGTTGGTTTGGGAATAGTAAAATGTTGAATAGAAAATAAATATTTAACGTCGAAATAATTAGTTATTTGTTTTTATTTTTATTTTTTAATGACGTAGGAATCTGCTGAGGCTAATATTATTTTAATGTCTTATGTGTATAAGTAAATGGAGCCTTGAGTTCTTGATTGTAATATTGTAAATAAAAGATTTATATGTAATTGATTTTTTTGAATAGTTGATGAATATTAATATTTCTTTTGTCTATTATTTATATTTATATTTTATTATTTTTGTTTGCCGGAAATCAATTGTCGTGTTTTATTAGTTGCTCATAGCAGTTTTGTTTAGATAGAAGTTTAAAAAAATTCTACAAGGGTGTGTTTGCTTGGAGGATTCTCCAAGATTTTTATTATTTTTTTATTTTTTTATCAAAAATATCAAATCAAATATATATTTTTTTAATATTATACTAAAAAATAATTTTACAATTAAAACATTACATCAACACCTATTTATATCATATCATACAACTATTCAAATTCAAAATTTTTACTATTCAAATCTCAACTCAAAATTCAAAGTCCCAGACAAACACACCCCTAGTAACAGACAATTTACCATACAGAGCCATGATTTATGTTAAAATAATACAAATGTAAATTATGCGACAATACATATTATCATTCTAAATAATGTATATGTTCTTAGAGGGTATTTAGTAAATAATTTTTTGAGAGTTTTTTTTAGTTATTTGATCAGTAAATTAGCTAATTTTGGTGTTTGGTAAATTAGCGTTTTTAATTAGCTTATTGGGTCCAAAAAGTTAATTTTGAAAAAGTCGTATATACCAACGATTTAAATTAGCTTTTTATTTTAATTTTTCTTATTCCTTATTTGTCCTTAAAATTAATTAATTCTTTCACATATATTCATATATTTTTTTATTACACTATTTTATTAATTATATAGATATTTTCTTCTAATAACTTATAAATTCACAAATATAAATTTTAAACAAGGGAAAAAATTATTTTTGTCCCAACATAAAAATCTTATCAAATTTTGTCCCAATATAAATTTTTTATCAATTTTAGTTCAAATATAACAAAAATTCATCACTTTTTGTCCCAATATAATCAAACATTATCTTTTTTGTCTCAATATAATCAAACCTTATCTTTTTTGGTCTCACACCGTCAACAAACCAACGGAAAATACTAACGTGAAAAGAAATCAAACATTATATTTATATTTGAAAAAATTGCACAATCTTGCAGTATTTTCTGTCGATTTGTTGACGATGAGACCAAAAAAGATAATGTTTGATTATATTGGGACAAAAAATGATGAGTTTTAGTTATATTGAGACCAAAATTGATAAGATTTTTATATTATGACCAAAATTGAATTTTTGTTATATTATGAACAAAAATAATTTTTTCCCTTCAAATAATTATGTTTTTATATGTCAATTATCTTATTTTTAATTTTTTTTTATTTTTTAGGATAAAGATAATATAAAAATATTAATATTGTTGAATCAATTATATAGCATGTTTTATCACATAATATTTTTATTAAAAATGAATATATTTATTTAAAATTATAAATTTAATATAAATATATATTAATTAAAAATTAATTTAATAAAAATACATATGTTAATAATTTTTGCTCTTTTATATTTATACTATTTCTAATGCAAAAATATATATTTTTCAATAAACTAGCATTAATTCTTTACAAAATATTTTTAAAAAAAATAATATCTTACTAAATTTTTTCTAATTTTTAAAATTAATAATAAAATTATAAAAAGTCTATCCACCGAAAAAACTTAATTAAATATTTTTAAAATAAAATATAAAATATCCTTAATTTTCATTTTACGGATAAACAACTAATATCAAACCACTGTTTTACCAAACATTCTAATACAAACAACTAATCAAATCAGCTAGTCAAACCGGCTAATCAGCTAATAGCTATCAGCTAATTGTCAAACACACCCTTAGTCTTTTTTTCAGATCTTTTGGAATTTTGTAGTAAATTAAAAAATTATAGTATTTTATTATTCAATATAAAAGATTTTGATATTTTTACTATTTAACTTTATGTATAAAGTAATTATAAATGTAATAATATATTTATAATTTAAATAAAAATTATGAATATTTTCGTATTAATATATAGTTATTTTTACCGAAAATAAAAATAAATATTTTTAAGTAAAATATAAAAAAAAAAATGACAAAAATTGGTACCTTAAATTAAAACCTATAGAGTATTATTATTATTATTAACTTCAAAGACATAATAAAATTATATTCATACAATATATTTGTAAGTATGAACCGTGTTTCCCATTGATTATTTTGTATTTGTGACAAGGGCCACATTGACGAATAAATTATTATTTCCTCTGTTTCAATACAATAGTCTTGTTTACTACTTTTATTCGTTTCAAAATAACAGTCTCATTTCTTTCAAAAATCATATCATCATAAAACTATTCTTATTTTTTCATTATTATTACACAATTGTCACTACTTTTTATACTAATATATTCATAAGAGCAAAAAAAAAGTTATTTATCCATATTTTTTACCGACTATTAATATAATATTAATATTTTTTAAATCTCGTGCTCAATATAATCAAACTATAGTTTTGAGACAAAGCGAGTATAAAATAAAAGTAAAATAAAAATAAAAACAAGTAGATGGAGTTAGTTTGTGTAGAAATCAAATTCAAACAAGTATATGAATCAGCATTCGGATAACGTTGTCAGTAAACAAATCTCCTTTTGACATTGACCCTCCTTCTTAGATGTAATTACAAAATTATCACAATCATTTTACTTATTTTTTTTTTTTTTATGTTATTAGATTTTATCGAAGTTTTACCATAAAATATAATCGAAAAATAGCTATATATACAAGTGATCTATATTAAGTAGATTAAAAAAAATTATATACTATAAATATATATACATAATTAATATAAATTAAATTACAAAAATAAAAAAAAATTAAATATATGATATATTTATATACTTGTATATTTATAAAAGTGATAAAAACATTAAATTGTAAATAAATTCTACCCTAAATTTTTATTTAAATATATATATATATATATATTTAATGCTAGGCATATCTTCTAGATAAGCTCCAACATTGCTGACTACTTGCCCACACACAAGACAAAACTTTTAGGCAATGTAATATGGTCAGAAAAAATTAATTTTTTTTTTTTTATATTAGGAAAGATAAGTTTTTAAATAATAATAAATTTGTTTTAAAAAAAAAAAACAAGAGCAAACCCTTGAGAAGCTATGAAATTTTAAAAAAATAATAATAAAATAATAATAATAATTTAATAGTTAATGTGTTATTTTTTGTGAGAAAAAATAAATATTTAATGAAATATTTTTTAAAATTACTATTAATAAATAATGTCAAAAAATTTAAAATTATTTATATAAATAAAATTCAAAATATAAAAGTACATAAAAATAGAATGAAACAAAAATTATACAATTTCCATATAAATACTAGTATATGATTGATAGAAGTAAGAAACAGTTAGTGTTAATGATTGGTATCTTGACACTAGAAGAGAAGATGTTCATCAATTGGGTAGGGTGGGGTGGTGGCGTGGGAGGTGGGGGTGGGGGTGGGGGTAGGGGTAGGGTGGGGTGGGTGGTACACGTGAGAAGATAAGCCTGCCATTTTGACTGTCGGCCGGCCGCCGTGCTCGGTACGGTGGCCCTTCGCCCACTTTACTAATTATTACTCTCTCCTCCGTCCCACATAATTTGTTCCTATTTTTTATTTTTGTCCGTTCCATATAATTTGTCATTTCTATTTTTTGAAATATAATTATGCACTTTAATCGTAATTTAAATTTTAATTTTATAATTTTCTTAATTTTAATTAAACTATTTACTTATATTAATCTTAATTTATAATTATTTTTACTAAATAATAATTATTTTTACTAATACACTTCTTAATTACATACTAATTATACTTTACCTAAATTCTCATGTTTACAGTAATACACTCATATTACATGGGACGGAGGGAGTATTATTATTATTATTATGGTAAATTGTTCTTTTAGTTATGTAACTGCACCTCTTATTATTTTAATTCTTTAAGCGGAGTACGTCACAAACTAGTCTCATAAGTGAAAAATTTAGCTGTTTTAGTCCTCCGGCATCGGAGACACCCGCGTGGCTCGCCGGAGACTACATGTCAGCCAGATTAGCTATACTTGGCGGACGCGTGGATTTTATTATTTTTTAAAAAATTGATTTTAAGTTTTATTTGTTTTTTTTTAATTTTTTTATTTGGTCTAATTGAAAAAAATAAAAAAATAATGCACGTGTCCGCCATATGTTGCTGCCCTGGCGAGACACGTGGCTTTCGACAAAGCACGCGGGCATCTCTGACTCCGGAGAATTAAAAGACTATAATGATAATAGTTTAATTACTGAACTAAAAAAACTGTTTATCTTTATTATTATTATTATTATTATTATTATTATTATCAATATTATTATTATTTTGTTTAGGTTCACGGTATGAAAATACAAGTAAGGGCAGATGTCTTTTTTAAAAAATAAAAATAAAAATTATTTAATAACCACGACATGATACGTAGTCTTGTTTTGACTTTTATTTGTAAAATCCTCCAGAAGACAATAAATTATTTAAAATAACAATAATAATAATAAATAATGGCGGTGATGATGACGATGAATTGATAATAAAAGTAAACAAATCGAAACGAGCCGAATTATATATATATATATTTTTTTTTGTTTGGTTCAGCTAGTTAAAAAAAAAAAAAAATTATTTTATTTATATTTTAAAAAATAAATTAAATATTTTATATTTACAAAAAATATATTTACTTATACAATATAAAATTATTAATTTAATTTATTTAATAAATATTGTTATATATATTTGTGAACAAGCTCAAATTCGTAAATATAATAAATTAAAATTTATATTTGTATTTCGTCTCGTTTATTAAATAATAATAATAATAATAATAATATTTCTTCAGTCTACAAATTAACTTTCTATTTTTTTATTTGAAATGTCTAATAATTATTGTCATTTTTTTATTTTTATACACAAAATTTATACTTTTACCTTTATTTTTGTTGATGTAATTTTTCAACAAAAATAAAGTAAAATTCAAAGATATAGAAAATATCCTTAAACTTGATTAATTAGTGTCTGAGA